ATCAGCGCTTCCAGGAAGCTGGAAAGAATGAGAACCCATCCATGCTGTTGATCTGTAGGTAATGTATTCAATACTAACTTTTATCTGAAATATGGAAGAGCCACTTTTGCTAAGATGAAAACACAACGCTTCTTCTGGATCCTGTCTCTACCCAACCATGGTAATTGGAGGGAAAAGACAAGTTAGGACCAGGCATGAAACGTTGCTATTTGGTAAGGAGAGGATGGTCCATACAGGAACACACACCTCTATAAATAAAAGCCAACTGGACTGGCAATTACCTTAAGACACACACTAGGACATCATTCTCCAATTACCTGGGGGTGACAGACCACAGAGTCTGTTCTTTTAAAAGCCTTTTGCTGTTTTCTACTTATCCCATCTCTATGTCTGATGACTGAGGTGACCTGACTTTTCTTCATGGTCATCTGGCCTTGGCCCAGCCATATTCAAAGGCAAGATACCAAGCTGTAGAAACAAGCAACAGCTCATTTTTTGTCTGGAACAAGAGTAACTGTTGCTTTTGTGGCTGGCTTGTAAGCTTTGCAGGATACCTGTTTATTGTTGGAAGATGCATGAGATACCAGACAGACTGTACCTGAACCAGATGGGCAGTTTAAGATTAAATCAGTGGCTATCATCATAATCATTAACAAAAAAAAACTTGTCTATAGACAAGAACAAGATAACGAGGACAGATAGCACACCTGGTGATTTCTTCCATCATTTGGTTAATGACTTTACTACTGACTGGCTACTGTTGGAAACTAAATATTGGAGCACCTCAGCTTTCCCCACTTTTTCCTAAGAAAGACTTTAGGATGATGAAAGATCTTTCCTAATACGTAGGACAATTCCATTATTTTCAAGCAGTCTGACTTAATTAGTTAATTACTAGGCCTTATGGGAGCTAGTAATTTGGAGAGCGCCAGATTGGGGAGGATTCTCTTTGTCAGTGGACGCACCACAATCTCAAGCAGGCTATCAGTGAGCTAAGCCTTGCCTTGCCTTCAAGGAACCTGGATTCCAGTGACACCTGAACCCAACCTTCTGTTCAAGTACAACATCGCAAGCCTGTGAGTCACAAGTCTCAGTGAGAACTTCATGTGGAAACTTGTGAACAGCTGAGTAATTAGTGCTGCAAATAAACTGCCCCTTTACATTTCCAACGGCAGGTTTCGAGGATGCACTTTAGACGCACAAGACACCATGCCCAAAGTGATCCCGCCACCATTCATCTCCTATTTCTTTTGACCCAATTAAAATCATCCGCCTGGTGCCAGATAATTAGTTTCTAAAAAAGGCTGTCGATATTAGATCGCCGATTGCTAGCGAGCTGAGGATGCTGCCTTGCTCTACTTTTCAAAATGTCCTTTCGATACTTAAAAGTTTGGCCTCCGGTTACCAGCGGTAATGAAAGGACAGTGAAAGTGAAGCTAAAGCAAGGAAAGGTCATGTCATTTTAGATCAGTGGTTCTCAACCTGTGGGTCGGGAGCCCATTTGGGGTCGATCGACCATTTCATGAGGGTCGCCAAGCAAGGCTGTCCGCCATTTTTTTGTCCGCCATTTTTTTCCCCTTTTCCGGCAGGTGCCTTACCTCCCTTGGGCTGGGCCAGCTGGTGGTCGGCCTGCTCCGTCTCTGCCGCTTGCCAGCTACGCCTCGGCCGGCACAGGGGGCGGAACCACGCATGCGCAGCGCTCCCGGGCAGGGAAAGTCCTCGACTTACGACCGGTTGGGTAGTCCTCGACTTATGACCGTTTTAGTCCTCGACTTACGACCGGTTTAGTCCTCAACTTACGACCGGTTTAGTCCTCAACTTACGACTGGTTGGGGTCGCGGCATTAAAAAGGTTGAGAACCACTGTTTTAGATCCAAGGTAAACCCAGGATGGCATGACATTTTCAGAATTTTTTTTATCTGATCCTACTTTTGAATAACACCCACATTTCTCATTGTAGCTTTCTCATTCTAGTTGCTAGAATGGCTAGCCTGCCAGAAGAACTAATGTTCAAAGATACCTTCCTCAAGAGATGCTCAGCAGCCTGCCTGCTGAATCGCTGCTTGATTTATGCTTTAAGCCTATCTCCTCCCAATCAGCCTTCACATGGAGAGGGTAGACAATTCTGCTCCATTTCTGCATTAGGTACCATTAGTTCCCTCAGTTGTTCCCAAAACAGAACGATGGGGCTTTCAGAGAAGAGTGCCTGATGTACTCCTGGAAAAAATCACTGGTCTGAGTTACTCTCTGCCAGTCACCAAGTGGACAATTTTACTGCTTTTCAATATCTGGCTTAGCTGGCTCAGTTACTGGAACAAAATCACTGCTTCAAGAAAGGTTATTTTTGGCATATCTAAAGGAATCACTGTTTCTTCCATTTCAGAGGCTTGCTGCAAACCAGTGACTCAGAAATAAGTGTGAAAAGTGGCTTTTTGAAAAGGCAGATCATTCTTATTCTTACACATTTTAAAATGAAATCTCAGACGCAAGAACACTTGCTAGTTTTAATTAGCCAGAATCCTGGAAAGCAATCACTACAATGGCAGAGTGTCCTACGGACCAGTGCAATTCTTGAAATTTAGCCACAGAAATGTGTCGTCTCCTAGTATTGTAAAACTCACAGGTGATGACAAATGGAATTTGTACAACAGTGAAAATACAATCCCATCTTTAAACAAATGGTTTGTCTAGTCTAGTGTAAACCAAAAACGCTGTTCACAAACATCCTGGAATCCATACATAATACTTCTCAGTTTTAAACGGTTATACTAATTTTAAGAATTAGAAATTAGAAGTATTTATAATTTACTGATGGTGGCATTCTCCTACAGTGTTCTGAAAATATGGGAAAAAATATGGAGAAAAAATAAAGCTTGATAAAAAAAAATTCAAGAGATTTATTTTTCAGAACCCCCCTGAAAATGACAGGAAGAAAAGGATGATCCATTTAGAAATCAAACAACACTTTTAAAAATAAAATAAAAAAGTGTTTCTGTACATAGCAACCAGTTTGTGGGATCAAAGAGGTGTTGAACTTCTTCCTTTGGAGTAATCTTGTATTTCAGGGTTTTTATCTGGAATTTTGGTTTCATCCATGACCAGACAATTGGAAGAACTACAGATTTTAGTGGAGTTAATGCTTGGCCTCATTTTGATAGTGCAATCCACTTTGGAGGAAGACATCAATGGGCTTGATTTGCCAGTGGAGATGGTCATTGTTTGTGAGGCTGAGCTTGTCTGAGTAAGGTCTACGTGCTCCAGACTCATTTCTGCACTTGCTGATTCATCTGCTGACGTTTTAGGTACAGAGGTCCAGGGCAGGGAGATATAGCCCTTGTAAATATTCCAAGACAGCAAAAGGAAGAAAAGGAGGGCAAAGGCAGACCCCACACCTATTAGACTGAACAATGAACTCTGGATTCTTCTGGATGGTGCTTGCTTTGGGTCCTCTGTCTCTGGGCCTCCCAAAGGTTTGCTTTTTGGACCTGCTATTTCAGAACACAGCTGGTTGGACAAGTCACACTTAGGACCGTAGAAAGTTTTCTCGGGCTGGGGCTGGAGGAGGTAGACAGCTACTGTTACACGAAATTTTCTCCCACTGACGTTTTCAACAGAATGACATTCATACAGCCCGGTATCAGTAACTGTTACATTAAAGACAACCAGTCCTTTTGTATGGATGAGATATTTGGCCTCTTCTTCCCGCAAGCGGCTCTTGTTAAACATCCAGAGGAGATTGGCTAGGTTGGACAAAGGTTCACAGTTAAGATGAGGGCTGCTGCCAAGGTTGACAGGGTACCTTCTGATTTTCTTTTCTGAAAAGCAAGAAGGCTTGGTGGTCAGCTTATAGCTTCCTGCCTCATGCTAGGAACTATGCCAACTTTCTTCACTGTCTGTACTAGCTACCTGTCACACGATCTGTATTGCCATTAAGGGAAGGGGGGACATAAGGTGTTAACATTTCAGATAACAAATACAGCAAAAGATACTGGTAAATTATACATGTTTGTGACCCTGCATAGAGCTATCCAATATGAAGGATCTTCTTACAAATAAATGGTTTTAATGTTACGTAGCAGTTGTCGGAGGAAAAAAAAAATAAAAGAGGATCTAGCTCCCACTCGCCTCTGTATCATGTGCTTTGAAAGTACTGCTTAAAATGTGTTGCATGGTGCTTTGGGTTTTTTAAAAATTTAATGTGTTTCCAGCTCTTTAACATTTGCAATCTGATACCAGCTTCTCTCAGTGGCAACGGTACCAGGGATTTTGCTATAAGCCAATGTGCTGATTCTGCGGATGCTCAGTCTCCATGTAGGAATTCCCTGGGTTCAGCCCAAGGTTAAAAATGAAGTAGCAGCACTTCAGAGAAGATGACTCCAAAAGGGAAAAGGGGCACGCTTGTCCCTATCTTCAATCGACTCCCCAAAGTCGAGACAATTTATATCCAAAAACAGCATGCCTTTTTACTCAAATAATTTAAGCTCAGAGAAACGGCGTTTTAGACTCACACACATACAAACTGCAAGACTTTCAGTGTATCTCTGGGAAAAAAAATCACAGCCATCCTCTGCTGGATTGAAAAGGAGATGAAAGCACTTAAACAAGCAGGCAACAACCCTCCCGAGTCTTTCAGTGAATTGCTATCCTATATTAAGACCTACCACGGTTGTCTGTACTGCTGTTTTTAGCAATGGATAAATGGTTTAGACTACTAGAAGGACTTCCAGTTCCACTCTGTGCTATGAAATTATTGGGACAGGATGGCATAGTGCTCATGAGTGACAAGATAGAAAAATGTAGTTATGATCTTTATGCTGGAAAGAATTCAGGTCCAATTAAACAGTTCCATGGGTCTGTAGAGAAACATTTATCCACATCTGCGCAATGGGGAGAGGGAAGAAGAGACCATTATTGTAGTTACTATGGAGAAATACCATATTTGGAGGAGAGATATTTTGCTGCTACACACCCACCTCTGACATTACTGTTGCCAGGCAAAGTCAAATAGCAAGGTGATCCCAATGCATTAGCATAACTCCAGATCCTCTGCCGTGGTTTGTGCCTGTGCCTGCACATATTCAAGTTATATGAGAATATGGAATAAATATAAAGACATTGGTTGGGCCCCCAAAACACCTTTGTGGGCATCCACTCAAGAAGCATATCACAGAAGAGAAAAGGAGGCAAAGACAAATGGTTGACATACTAGGAATTATTGGAAAACCATCAAGCGGAATTTAAAATGAAATCAAGAGAGCAACTAATAGCAGAGGGATATAGTTATATCATTTATAATGATCAAAAAGATTCAAAATGAATAAAAAAAGCTTAAGGTATACTATAGAGCAAAGTAAGGCAGAGTTTGAAGTACAACTGTGCACTGTGATCATGAACATGTAATTGCTAAAAGGTATAAACTTTTATTGAAATTTGAAACGGAGGAAGAACAGATTGAAGACTGTATGATAAAGTTGGCTAAGAATTCTGGTTATGGCATACAGATGAATCAATGGCAAAAGGGTTGAAATTTACATTATGTTATGATTTTAAAGGGAATGTTTATAAATTAATATACTGTTGGTACATCACACCAGAGAAATTAACTAAAATGTATAAAACTATTTCAAACGTATGTTGGAAATGTGAACAACATAAAGGGACATTCTATCATGCTTGGTATATATTTAAAAAAACTAAAAAATATTGGGTTTGTGATGCTTGGAGTCATGGAAGATTATTTCAATATATGATTACTGTAGCAAGATTGTATGAACAAAACAAGAAAGATTCAACAATATTCACTATGGAGGAATGGTTTGTGAAATTAACAGATCTTGCTGAAATGGATAAATTAACTTCTTCAATTAGAGAAAAGACGTCTTTATTGGTGACTGGAAACACAATTATGGTGTAAAAATGAAAAAAATGAGCATATGGTTTTGAAAATTAGATAGGACATATTACAGAAAAGAGGATCATTGTGTAACTTTACAAAGAGATTTTAAAATATAATTATAATTGCTGTGGAGAATATCTGAAGTTTGTATCCTTTTCTTTCTTTTTTATTTTTATTTTATTTTATGGCATTTTTGGCTTTGTCTTTGATTTCTTCTTTTTTTCTTCCTTATTTTATATTGATTTGCATTAATGTTTATCTTTCTTTTTTAAATTTTTAATAAAAATTACAAAAATATGCCCTTAAATATATTCACGGCACATTTGTTGCATCAGATCACAATCTGAATACTTGTTTAAATAGGATAGGCTTTTTTTTTTCTTTAAAGCCATATTAGATTACTACTTTTTCTGTTTCTTCTCTACATTTATTTCAATGCATAAGTAATACAGGCTGTCCTCATTTAGCAACCATGATTGAGACTATCAATGTGGTCATTAGGCAAAGTGATTGCTAAGTGAAACAGTGACGATGCTTATGATCTTACTCCAGCTGTTCATTGCTTTATAGAGCTGCGAAAATTATAGATGCAAGGATTGGACATAAAATTACTTTATTCAGTTATTGTTGTAATTGAACAGTTGCTAAATGAGGCAGTTGTTAAACAAGCACTACCTGTAATTAAATGTTTTAATTCACCTAATTTTGTCTAAAGTGTTTTTCTCCTGCCAATTAATGACATATGACAATCCTTTCTATTAGTTGCACTCCCAATCTCTTTATAAAATTTAGAGTATTCTGCATTTTTTCTTCAAGCTCATTATGTGGCATCCAGACAATGGTTGAATGTACACAAATATCTTTAAAAATTGGATAGAGGGCATATTATCAAGAGGGTTCTTGATAATACACCCTCTAATCCAAGAAGCATTAGATAGCTGAGTCCGAGAGTGATCAATTTAAATTTTCCACAGTATATTAGAATGATGTTACATTATAGACATCATGGAAAATTTAAATGGCAGCTTCCAGATCAGCATGGACTAGAGTACTAATAATGTCTTTGTTTAAGAGAAAGCAGGCATGGCAGTTGTCAGCAGTGGATCCCATTTAGACACTAAAGGCTCAGAAACTGCCCAAGGTTATGGAGAAACTGTTACCAATGTGTCCTTTAGCTTTGGGTAAAATTGGTTTAAATAATGAAATTACCTATACAGCGAAAGAGATAAATCCACCTTAAGCAATTGAACTTTGAGTAAATGAGGATGGATTGTAGCATTTAATGTTAAATGATTCACATAAACTTGGAATAGTTGTATGGTGCAATTTATCTTATTATAGCAACAATTTTGTAACTAGACAATAGTCACTGTTTAGAAAATATATGTTGCCATGAGAATATTTTTTTAAAAAAAAATTCCCCTACCTACTTCAGGACACCTGTAGATATCACCATTCTTGATGCTCTGGATTAGATCTCTTAACAAAAGAAGAAAGAAATTATATAAACTACTTCATAGAGATATTCAAAAACATTCAAAGCGGACAGAAATCTTCTCTTAAAAATCTACTTTTGGCCTTGAAATGCAGAGAAGGAAGTCTGAGAATAGCAGCAATCAGAAACTCTCCTGCAAAGAGAGGCTAAGAAAAATTTGCTCCAATGGCATAAACTAGAGCAGTGGTTCTCAACCTTTTTAATGCCGCGATCCCCAACCGGTCGTAAGTCGAGGACTACCCAACCGGTCGTAAGTTGAGGACTACCCAACCGGTCGTAAGTCGAGGACTTTCCCTGCCTGGGAGCGCCGTGCATGCGTGGTTCCGCTCCCTGCGCCGGCCGAGGCGTAGCTGGCAAGCGGCAGAGACGGAGCAGGCCGACCACCAGCTGGCCCAGCTCAAGGGAGGTAAGGCACCCGCCGGAAAAGGGGGAAAAAAATGGCAGACAGCCTTGCTTGGCGACCCCCGTGAAATGGTCGATCGACCCCAAATGGGGTCGCGACCCATAGGTTGAGAACCGCTGAACTAGATAGAAGATGGGATGTACCATTTGCAGCTGGCACTTCTGCATGGGTTTCACATTATACCTATCCTAGCTTTTCTGCTGAGCAACCAATACCCATCCCCTGTTTCCTTGGCACTTCCCTCTCCCTGCAGCTGACAAGCTATCTTACTGCCTCAAGCTCACATACTGGGCTTCAGTGTTGAAGCCTTAACCCCAGCACTGCAAGGGAAAGACAAAGGCGGGACAATGATTTTGGCCCCTCCTCACTAGACAGTTGGAGACAATGGGGCTAGTGAATGCTTGCAATGGCTGCAACAGGGATAACCATGGATATCCATGCAACTTTGTCAAAAACTGCCTAATCACTCAACTCATTATACCATATCAGAGTGTGAATTGGGAGATGTCCAAGGCATAATTTACAGTGAACAAAACCTCCTGACTCAGGAAAATCTGTGATAGGCTGAGTCAGGCTATTCTCCAAAGCGCCTGAAGGCAGGACAAGAAGCAACGGGTGGAAACTAACCAAGGAGAGAAGCAACCTAGAACTAAGGAGAAACTTCCTGGCAGTGAGAACAATTAACCAGTGGAACAACCTGCCTCCAGAAGCAGTGAATGCTCCAACACTGGAGGTTTTTAAGAAGAGACTGGACAGCCATTTGTCCGAAATGGTATAGGGTTTCCTGCCTCAGCAGGAGGTTGGACTAGATGACCTCTAAGGTCCCTTCCAACTTTATCATCATCATCATCATCATCATCATCATCATCATCATCATCATCATCATCATCATCATTATTATTATTATTATTATTATTATTATTATTATTATTATTATTATATACAAGATGGATCTGTGCAAAGACTCCCCTAGCCAGGGCTTTTGTCTGTTTTTAAGGATGAGCTGAGTCTAGGACAGTGGTTCTCAACCTGTGGGTCGGGACCCCATTTGGGGTCGATCGATCATTTCATGGGGGTCGCCAAGCAAGGCTGTCTGCCATTTTTTTTGTCCGCCATTTTTTTTGTCCGCCATTTTTCCCCCCCTTTTCCGGCGGGTGCCTTACCTCCCTTGGGCTGGGCCAGCTGGTGGTCGGCCTGCTCCGTCTCTGCCGCTTGCCAGCTACGCCTCAGCCGGCGCAGGGGGTGGAACCACGCATGCGCGGCGCTCCCGGGCAGGGAAAGTCCTCGACTTACGACCGGTTGGGTAGTCCTCGACTTATGACCAGTTTAGTCCTCGACTTACGACCGGTTTAGTCCTCGACTTACGACCGGTTGGGGGTCGCGGCATTAAAAAGGTTGAGAACCACTGGTCTAGGAGAACTCAGATATGACAAACCAGCTCTGCACAGGAAAGTATGAATCCGAACCAAGTGGGAAAGATGAAACATCTCTGGAATTTGAGGGTTTCCCTCTTTTTGTCCTCATCCAAAACCTCACAATCTCCAGACGTATTTTAAGGCTTGTTTGCACAATACGCCAACCTATGGATGGGCTGACACAATACTGTATCATAAAATAACCCAGCATTAAAGGATAGAAGAACTGATCTCAGTCCCAAATGAAATCAAACCTTTACTATGGTCAAAGATCAGCATAACGTTTGCAGTCAAAACAACATTGCCAAGCAACATAGGTTGTGTTGAAATTCTCTTAACCTCCCCATCCTTTTCAGGGACTTATTCATCCAGTGCAAAACATGCTCTTTTCAAATGGGAAACACTAATAGAATAACAGCTGGAAGGGATCTTGGGGGGGTCTTCTCCTCAAGCAGGAGACCCTATACCATTTTAGACAAATGGTTGTCCAATCCCTTCTTAAAAACCTCCAGTGATGGAGCACCCATCCACATCTTCTGAAGCCAAGCTGTTCCACTGATCAATTGTTCTAACTGTCAGGAAATTTCTCCTTATTTCTAGGTTGGTTCTCTCCTTGATTTATCCTTAATTCATTGTATCAGTAAAGTATTTTGTGAATTGGGGAGGGTTGTGAAGGGCTCCTTAGCTGTTCTGCCTTGTCCTCAGCAGGACCTGGAGGTTCTAATAAAACTCCTTTTTTTTTTCATGCTCACATGCTGTACTGGTTCCCCACCCCAAAAGCAGATAGGGGGAAACAACTTCAGCATTCATTTAAAGTCATCTAAAAAAAATTGAACTTGTTCCCCTATTCAGAATTCTCTCCTGCAATAAAAGCTGAAAAAGCCTCCTCAGAGATAAAAAAAAAAAAATGGGATTCAATCAGAACAGCAATTCCACTGGAAAAAAAATGTTAGAATCGTCAGTAGTTCAAAGGCTGGCTGAAACTTCCATTGCAAGTAGTTCCTCAGTTATCAGCTAGGGAAAAAATGCCTACAGGGAGCTAGCTTCACCACTTCCTGAAGAAAAATGAACAATTTCACCAAAAACAGATGCAGCAAAAACAGACAATAGCGGGCAGCTTCTTTGATTTGTTTTATTCTGTTGCAAGCCAATTCAGACAAAGCTTCAAAGCAAACAAAAGATTAAAAATGCAGAGCAGTAACGTATACATTTTAAAATCTGAATCAAGTCTCATTACTTGTCTCATTGATTATATTACTCACTGTGAATGCTCAAGGTGGTTAGCCAGGAGGATACAACTGTGAAGAGAGAGGGACCATGCACAGTAGGGATCTCTTGCCAAGATACAATCAAAGCATTGTTTATACCAGCTGCAAATTGCAACAGGGAGCTGTACTAGCTGGGAAGGAGAACTGGCATACAACAGGCCCTGGAAAGACAGCACTAAATGGTTATCTTTTCTGCTAAATGATATTAAAAAACCATTCAAATAGATAAATCCAAAAGTACACAATGGAATGATACAGAAGGGAAGGGTGTCATGCTGAACAGAGCAGGACAATGTTGTACCTTTAGAGAGGCTAGTTTGAGTATCTGTACAGGCTCTGCTGATGGAAACAACTGTATTTCTTCCAAAATAATAATTTCTCCATGACAATTGAGAGCTTTATGCAAATAGCCCTTATCTGTATAAAATGAAACACAGTTAAACCTTAGTTGCTTTATGTTTTATAGATGTGTTAGAAACTCATGACCCAAATCGTATTTCTTTAATAGCAGAGCTTAGTTATTTTGTCTGGCTAGTCAATAAATTGAGATAAATCAAACCTGGTGACAAATTTCTAGTCAATCAAATAGCAAAATTCTAGTCATGATGATGACCAGGGAATCTGTTTGTTCAAACATTCAAGTTTTTCAGATCCTCATGGGGGTATAAATAAATGTTAACCCTGTAAGGTAGAGTAGTCCAGACAAGAAGCACAAAGATTAGATTAACAGAATGTTGTAAGACTGAAATTTCTCCCCTCCTTCTCTTCTACTCGCTGGAAAACCAGGGAGGGATCTTCTCTGAAACTTTTCTGACACCATCTCCATTTCCATGGGCTAAGATATCATTTACATGCTGGTTGTCTGTGGCTCTCCCTCCTGTCTCCCGAAGCCATTCCCACATACCATTACAACAGGATCTACTGGAAAATACATTATAGGGAGCAAAGACTTCATCTATATTTTCTATAAGATATCACTAGGAAACCAAAAATATATTATGGGTATGATGTGCTAGTATAGAGGTGGACTAGAGCTATTATTTATTGCTCCTTGCTTTAAAACACCTAAAAATTATTGAAAGCTGACAAGATAGCATTTTTTTAAAAAAAAAAGCACTCTGGAAGCAGCATAGTAAGTGCTTTACCTGTCCCTAGGAAAAAGATGTCATATGTGACATTATCCAAGTCAGTGGCTTGGCTTATTATGAGTTGTGTGTACTTGGTACCCCTTTTCAGGAAGACAGGCTGAAGACCAACTGAGTTCACAATACTGTCCAACAAAGGGTGGTCTCGGGCAAACTGGAGGACTTTATCTGGCAAGTCAATTGAAGAAGTGTACCCCAAGTGTAGAGCAGAAACATTGGCACACTGTAAAATAATGGACAAGTGGGTTATGTATTCCGTTTATTTAGAAAATCAGCTATTACTACTTACCAAGAGGAGTATAGATAAGGAATTATGTAATACAGGGCTTTTCAACCTTTTCACCCACTGTACCACTTTTAGGATATGGCAACATCCAAGTACCACCAGTCGCCTAGCAAGGTGTTAAAAACTTGATGACCCCCCCCCAAAGAAAAAAGTGATAAAGTACAGGTAGTTCTCGACTTACAACAGTTCGCTTAGTGACTGTTCGAAGTTACAATAGCACTGAAAAAAGTGCCCCCCAAGCTACAGCCGAGCAAGACACCTGCCTGCCCGGCGGCGCTCTTCCTCCTGTCCGAGGTTTTCATTGTTGTGAGCATTTCTGTTGATTGGCAGCGGGAGTGGGATGGGGGTGTTTGGTTTTTATTCCTCCCCGTCTGCTGGGTGATTGCAGCAGGTTTTGGTCACTTCACATGACCCTGGGACACTGTGACCATCATAAATATGAATCAGTTGCCAAGCATCTGAATGTAAATCACAAGACCCTGGAGATGCTGCAACATTCCAGTTGATCGGTGCTTCTTCTGGGCTCAGCAGAAGCACCAGGATCAGTGCCGAGCTCCAGCTGGAGCCTGGCGCTGATCCTGGTGCTTCCACTGAGCCCTGACAGCCTCGAAGAAGCACTGATCCTGGCGCTTCCGCTGAGTCCTGACAGCCCTGCAGCTCCAGCCATCTCTCGCTCAGGCTTGTGCGGTGCTGCCACCAGTTCAGCTCATTCCCCTCCCCTGCTACCACTTTTCTAGGATGGTCGCGTAGCACCTGCCAGGTGCCAATGTACCACAAGTGGTACCCATACCACTGGTTGAAAAGCCCTGATATAATAGACACTTGATAGCTTAACACATGGTAGAGTCTGGGACTGGGCTCAGTTGAGGAGTTAAGTTCAGTGTAATTACCACATATTATCCAATGTTATTGGTAAATACTTAAATATTTAAAATGTTTTGTGCTATAATGTCATTCCTGTCAAAGAGCTTTATCCTATACATGCTTTGTAAGATCTCTGCTTGTAGTTTTGATTAAGAAATGGCAGAGCCAAATGAAAAGTACAATTAATCTCCTGATAGCAGCATCTAAATATGTTAGCCTGCAGGGTGTGGAAAATATTTTGAATAAATTCAAACCTCCCTGTCTTGAACCAAACCATATTCATACTGATCAAGGAAATGCCTATTCAACAAGAGAAATTGAGACTTACAGCCCCAGGGCGAGGACTCGGAACATCTCCCCTGTACACCACCCATTTCATATGGGAATTTTCCAAAGCAACAGGACCTTTGTAGCTTCCTTTCAGAAATATATCTTGAATAGTCTCCATCCGGAATGCACAAACAGCTGAAATATCCAAGTTTCCCCTTAAATAAAGAACAAAATAGAATTCTGCAAAATAGAATTCTGCATTCTTTCTCACTTTTTGAAAGCGGGAAATTATCCATCTTAATGCAGAAATATAGCAAAAATATTCTGTGCTCCAATGGAATAATGTGAACATGCTGAAGGTAAAACTGCCCTTCGTTTCACTTGTGGTATATTGGCCAAAATGAGTCAAAATTAACTGGTATTGTCCTTGCTGCCAGAGGTATTGCTGCATGTAGCAAAGAGTGACTAAGCCTGATAACATATTCTACCTCTTCTGTATCTTTCCAAAAAGCATTAGGTAAGAGCTTGCCACTTGAATGTAAGAGGAATAAATAATAAAATAACATAAAAAGGAATTAAATGCGTGTTATGGGTTTCTTAGCTTAAGAAAGTGGATAACAGCTTGCAAAACATTGGCTCAAATTTCTGTACATTTCTCCATTATAGAAAATAATGTCACTTACTTGATGGCCATATTACTATATTAATAAATCAAATGTTATGACAATATTTAATGTGATCAAAGGACTGTATCTGTGAATAGCCTGCCCTTCAGATCTTCTAATCCGGTTGCCCCCAACCTTTTGGGCATCAGGGACTGGTTTCTGTAGAGAAATGCTGCCTGCATCCCACGGATGGGGCTTCGCTTGTTTGTGTGGCCTAGTGCTGGTCCACAGACCAGGGATTGGGGACCCTTGTTCTAACCTATTGCTGTTCTAATTAAATCCATTATCTTGCGGTCTGGTTATTCTTTTCTCTTCTTTCCTTCCATCTTTTCCAACATTACAAACTTCTCCAGAGCTAGATCTTCACATAATTTGTCCAAAAGGTGATAATTTGAGCCTGATTATTTGTGCCACCTTGAGCAAGGACTCTGGATTGATTTCTTCCATGATCCATTTGTCTATGTATAGATGATTTATTTCATCTTTTATTGTATTGAGCTTTCATTTCATATTACTTACATTCCATACTTCTGCTGCAGCTTCCATTTTCTTTTCCTGTATGGCAATATCAGCAACTAGAGGTCTTGAAGGCCCTAATCCATCTGTGTCATAAACACTACTAGTATCCCAAAAGATCCTCAGCTCTTCCTCAGCAGCAAGTTGAGTGCCCTCTGACCTGAGAGGTCAATCGTCCAGCACTACATCCTCAATCACTTTATATGATTTTTTTCATTGTAGTTTTCTTGGCATATCTTTCCAGTGCTCTTTCCTCATCTCTTCCAGGCACACAAACACACATGCACATATATACCACAATGAGGCAGTGAAACCAAGCAGCTTACTGGTTTTTACTTCAAGATTTCAGTTGCTGTTTAATCCCATCATTAAAGTTTGGGTAAACTTGAGCTAAGGTCTAATCTAGGATTGAGCTAACATTTTTGGCTTGTAGAGTTACCCTTTATTTCTAGAATTATTTTAGCCTTGGAAGGCCATCACCAGCAGCTAGTAATAGGGGAGAGGTCTCTAAATGAATGGAGCTGAATTTTTTCTGTTCTTTTTGGGAGGTTGGGCACTGGGCAAGTGCTATGAGCTTCATATCTTAGGTGACCCTGCTGGGAGTATATACTTGGTGTACACACTGTTATTTTTTGCCTATCTCTCCCAGGAACATCTTGCCCCTGCCATAATAGGACAGATTAGCAGGATTTGCAGGAGAAATCATAGGATAGGATGCTTATTTCTGGCTTTTTTTTTTGTATGAACCACCCTCATTTAAGTTTAATGTATCAATCTGGCAACTATGGCTTGTTTAATAAGCAAGAATTCAAAATATGACTTTATATATGTATAATAATTTAATCTTGAGGTCACCAAAACATAAATTAAATCATTTTACTTTATTGTCCATGTCAGTGGTTCTCAACCTGTGGGTCGGGACCCCATTTGGGGTCGATTGACCATTTCATGGGGGTCGCCAAGCAAGGCTGTCCGCCATTTTTTTTGTCCGCCATTTTTTTTGTCTGCCATTTTTTTCCCCTTTTCCGGCGGGTGCCTTACCTCCTTTGAGCTGGGCCAGCTGGTGGTCGGCCTGCTCCGTCTCTGCCGCTTGCCAGCTACACCTCGGCCGGCGCAGGGGGCGGAACCACGCATGCGCGGCGCTCCCGGGCAGGGAAAGTCCTCGACTTACGACCGGTTGGGTAGTCCTCGACTTACGACCGGTTTAGTCCTCGACTTACGACCGGTTTAGTCCTCGACTTACGACCGGTTGGGGTTGCGGCATTAAAAAGGTTGAGAACCACTGGTCCATGTCATTCTAGTGATGATTGAGAACAGTATTCCCTAACAAAATTAGGGAATTGATGCTGCAAAAGTATTCTGAGCAGAAGCAATATGGCGGCCATAAGATGATACAGCTGTTGTTTTTTTTAATTCAGGACCATTGGACTGGTTTAGCTGCTGCAATAAATTTCCCAGTTCAAGCCTCCTGAATGTTTTATAAGAGTCCACAAATCTGAGTGATTTTGACCTTTTATTCTTTATGCCAGAGTACAGTGCAAGACTAATTGAATCAAATGTTATACCTTTACCTTAACTTGCATCTGTATTTGCCAGTGATTTGCCTTAAACTATGTGATTACCATTATACTTCCAATATACCCGTCTTTCGTGGTTAATGTTAAGAGGGAGATTGAAAATGTCTTGGAGAAGAACTCTTACCATTGCTGGGTAAAAATCCCATAAATTATGGTTTCCTGCCAGTTTGAATTCTTGACTACAAAGACATCATGAAGGATATTAAATTGGAATTGCAGTTCAGGAACAGAGCAGAGAAGGGTAGATTTTAAAAATGAAGTCCATCTTTTTTTTAACGTTCGCTTTCCACCAAGATCACCCTTGAGGGGGGGAAATAAATCCTGTTACAAAGCTACTTAGCAAAATGTTCCAAAATGCTACACTTGTTTTTTTTATGAATTAATACATTATTTCATTGCTTTATGAAAACAAATCAAGTAGCTGGATAAACACCACTGAAAAATGAATCTGTAATACATCCAGAAGATGCATCAAGAGAACCGTGAGCAGGGAAAATAATAAACACAACAGAAAATATTCATAATTGATTTGGAACTGAAATGTATGGATGTTTGAATCCTTAAATACTAAACCTGTGCAAAGCTTCAAAGGCTAACTCCTCTTTAACAAATGATCAAGTAAATTTGTGATTTTGTGATTTTATTAGATTTATACCCCGCCCTTCTCCTGGCGGACCCAGGGCGGCTTACAGCAGCTAAAAACAGATAAAAACCCAAAAACACCATTTTAAAATATAATTAAAAGAAATATTAATTTTGCCGTTTCATTTAAAATTTTGTTAACACCCAATATAAAATCAAATTAAAATCCAATCTAAAATACCCCTCAGGCCAGCCCCGCTAGCTGGAATAGCCATGTCTTGAGGGCGCGGCGGAAGGAGGGGAGATCTGGAATGACCCGGATCTCTGGGGGTAGTTCGTTCCATAGGGAGGGGGCTCCAACAGAGAAGCCCCTCCCCCTGGGGGTCGTCAGCCGGCACTGTCTGGCTGACGGCACCCTGAGGAGACCCTCTCTGTGGGAGCGTACCGGCCGATGAGAGGCAATCTGTGGCAGAAGGCGGTCTCGGAGATAACCAGGTCCGATGCCATGGTGCGCTTTAAAGATGATAATCAACACCTTGAAGCGCACCCGGAAGGCCACCGGTAGCCAGTGCAGTTCGCGCAGCAGCGGCGTTACATGGGAGCGACGAGTAGCTCCCATCACCGCCCGCGCGGCTGCATTCTGGACTAACTGGAGCCTCCGAGTGCTCCTCAAGGGGAGCCCCATGTAGAGAGCGTTGCAGTAGTCCAGGCGGGAGGTGACAAGAGCGTGGGTAACTGTGTGCAAGGCATCCCAGTCCAGAAAAGGCCGCAACTGGCGAACCAGGCGTACCCGGTAAAACGCCCCCCTGGCCACGGCCGTCAATTGATCTTCTAGTGTCAGCCGTGGATCCAGGAGGACACCCAGATTGCGTACCCTCTCTGAGGGAGCCAAAATTTCGCCCCCTATAGTCAGCGACGGAGTCAGCTGACTATGCCTGGGAGCCGGTAACCACAGCCACTCAGTCTTGGAAGGGTTGAGTCTGAGTCTGTTTCTCCCCATCCAGACCCGTACGGCCTCCAGGCACCGGGCCATCACGTCAAGGGCATCATTGGGGTGGCCTGGGGTGGAAATGTACAGCTGAGTATCGTCAGCGTACTGATGGAAATCCACCCCAA